GACTCGACGGCTAACAGCGCGATGGAGGAGGACGAGGCGGCTGCAGTGGCTTCTAACAGGAAGGTGTGAACACTTCAATTGTGATACAACATATGACTTGTTTCTGAATGCTCTACTTGGGGTTGTGTTAGCTAGTAGGGGATTCACTCAAGTTGAAGCTGTCGATGGCTGTTACTGCTCTCGGTAATTCGGAAGATTTCGATGCCTTCCTGAAGGCTGCGAGATACGGTGATGTCGAGGAAGTACTCAAACTGTTGGAAGGTCACCCTGAGCTTGTACGACCCTTCCGAGTCTGACCTCTCTGGATGTTGTTCGTTGTGCAGGTGGAGGAGTCCGATGCGTTCACGAAGAGCACAGCGATGCTACTAGCCGCCGCCAACGGACATAGTGAAGTCGTCCAGGCTCTATTGGAGAAAGCCGGGGAAGGAAAAAAGAAAATAGTGGTGAACCAAGGTAGGCTTCGAGCAGTTCTTCTGTTTTTAATGGGCGCATTTGACAGCGAATGGCCAAGGCAACACTCCACTCCATTGGGCGGCTCTGAATGGACATCTCGCCGTTTGCAAGATCCTTGTGGGCGCAGGAGCAGACGCTACAGCTGTAAACAAGGCAAAACGCACTCCGTACGATGAAGCATTAGCCCGGCATTTCCAGGAGGTGAATGGAAACTTGAATTTCTTCCCTTGTGAAATCTCCTGCACAGGTTTGCGTCTATTTGGCGAAGTTCTCGGCTCTCGAGACCGGGTCGTAGAGGTTTCCACTCATAGGATCACGTTACTCCATCTTCTTCAATGTGTTGGTTGTGAATTGATTCATTTCCTCAGAAGAGGGGAAAATGTTAGTCAACGAAATAGTCTAATACAACGTATATAACACTCCATAGGTTCATGCGAAAGAGACTTTCTTCGTCACGAAATATTGAATATGGTGGCAGCATTCTCGTAATTCTTGACATCCTTGGACGAGATGGGCACAACTTTCAAGATGATTGTTGTGCGAACATAAGACCTGAATTGATTATAGACTAAGAGTCAAGAAATCAAATATTGACCGGAATTGTCGTAATGAAGCGAAAGCTCTTCGAATGTTAGGCAGAAAAGACAGAATTTTCCCACGCATGATTACTCTCGGTAGAACTCCACCACACCAGCAAGACTCACATAGGTTCCACTAATAACAGAAGCGGCGCCGAAGCCGATGAAACCAAAAGAGAGCCACTCTGGATAGCCCATCGCATTTTTGTGATCCTCCTCAGCTGACTGCTCATCCTTCAATTTACCCACCAGCTTATAGTAAACGATTCTCACACAGAAACCAGCGGGGATTGATGTAGCAAATAATCTAGCCTGTCACCGAACCGACCAAAGCCA